ATAAATATATATATATATATATATATATATATATATATATATATATATATATATATATATATATATATATATATATATATATATATATATATATATATATATATATATATATAAAACTGTTTTTTTTTCCTTAATTTTGGTCATATTTACTACACTCAAAAAAAATTATTTTTTTTTGCTCGTTCAAGCTACTTATTTAAAATGAGTTGAAACAACACAATTTCATTTTTTTATGTTATGTTTAAGTTAACCTATTCAATTTGTGTTGGGACAACATGAATTAATTGTGTGAAACCCTGCATTTTTTTGTGTAGATACTAAATAATTTATTTAAACAAAATGTTTTGACTGTATTTTTTTCTCTGTAGGCTACTGCTACAGTGCCATCTAGTGACCAAAGCTTAGCTGAGCATTGGCATTTATATTAAAAAGCACAACATGAAAATAAAGCTTTTAAAATAAAAACTTAGACAGCATCCTTTAGAACAGGGGTGTCAAACTCAATTCCTGGATAGCCAGAGCTCTGCAGTTTAACACACCTAAAGGTATGTATTAAACAAGCTTAAAGGACTCAATTACTTTGATCGTGTGTGTACAATTAGGGTTGGAACTACTGTGCAGAGCTATGGCTTTCCAGGAATTGTCCAGGAACAGTCACCAGTGCTTTAGAAGATTATTAAATATCAACATCCTGTTGTCTCTCACACAAACAGTGTAAGCATGCTCTGCATTATGTTCACCAGTTAACTTCAATAGCCATTAAACCATGTGGATGCATTATTTTTCCCCAGTTGGTTTCATTTTCAAATGATAATGCAGCTTTAGGGGTAAAGTCTAGTTTCTCTCTTGTTTAACATTCTAGTATCTGATCAGGCTATAATTCAAAACACACACCCACACGTCTTTTTCTATTCCAGTGAGGATTCTCCAGATGTAATGATTTTTAAACTGTACAGACTGTATTTTTGGAACTCTTCACATCCAAACCTGACAGGAAACAATATGCATTTCAACATTTTTTAAATAGTTAATTGTGTGTTTTTTTTATGTAGGGTTTTTTATTTTGGGGGACCAAAAAAAGTGTCCCCACAAGGTCAAAATTTAAATTCCTATACATGTGGCGACAAATTGTCTCAACAACATAAGGAAAACAAATACACACAGGCACACGCACACACATACAAATAAAACATAAAAGCAAAGGTATTTTTCACTATAAAATCTAAGGTATGTAGTGCAATGTCACGTTAGAAAATGTACCTTTTAAAATTAATGTAGCCTGTGGAAACACAATCATTTACACATACAACCAATAAAACGATTAGTTTAGGTATTGCAATTATTATTTTGTCTTTATAACTAGATGAGCGAATCTTGATGGTCAAATCAAGGCAAGGCAAGGCAAGGCAAGTTTATTTCAGATCAATCACTTTTATTGTCACATTATCAGCAGCACGTGTGCTATGATGAGTGAAAAACTTAGGTGCTGGCTCCAGACAGTACAAAATATAGATAGTTAATGACAGTTAATGTTCTGATGACATTTAGCATTGCAATACAAAGAACATTCAAGTTGCTTTCCATTTAATTCTGAGAAATAAAATAGAAGAAAAAAAATCAAATCACATTTTTGGCTGTTAAATAAAATAATAAAAATAAGTTAACATGTACCATTTTCACAATTACTTTCTGAGAGCATTTCAAATTAAATACACCTCGATTCACAGAAAAGGCCAGATGTCAAAGTTCAGTGAGATCATGATTTGCATACAAGGAGTCTGAACAAGTCGTTCAAACTGGATAAACCTGAGACAAAAAGTCTTTTTGTTCAAACATGTAAACATACGTCTGTTAGGCATCCATGTGTAAAAAAACATTTGGCGTATTATTTCCCTTTTTCTTCACAATGTCTGCATTAGGATTAATCAAACATAGAAAAGAGTGACATAATCCTTTTACAATGGATGCCTGTTGAAAGTTTGATTCGGATTGGCTAATGATCATTTAAAAGTGTGCAGTTACTTTTAGGCAAACACACAGACTACAGCTGCCTGGGTCATAATAAGACCAGATCATTAGCTGTGCATGTATGATTCTCCCATCACCAGTCCCAAAAGTTTGTTTATATTGTTGTCTACTTTTATGAGTTCATTCATCAAGGAGTTCTCCAAACACACTGGACCAGACAATTTAAATTAAATTATACATTTTCAGATCGGCAGAATCTCCTTTCCACAATTAAAGTCACATGTCACAGCTGCAAACAGAAAATAGAACAGAAGTCAGAATTAGAATTAATTTAAAGGAACAGAACACTGAGCACCAAACCAAATGAACAGCTTATTACATGCACTGTGGCATGTCACCGACAAATAAAAATTCCACCATTATTTACTCACCCATTACTTGTTTAAAATTTTTATGAGTTTCTTTCTTCTGTTGAACAACAAAAAAAGATACTGTGAAGAATTCCAGAAACCTGTAACCATTGACTTTCATAGTATTTGTTTTTCATACTATGGAAGTCAATGGTTACCGATTTTCAGCATTCTTCAAAATGTCTTCCTTTGTTTTTCAACAGAAGATAGAAACTCAAAGGTTTGGAATCACTTGAGGAAACGTTCATTTTTGAGTGAACTTGCCTTTTAAGACCTCAAAGCAGCATATACTAATAACTAGTTTCTTATTTTATCACCTCTAATAAAATTGTAATTAATTTATTAAGGTGTGAGCTGATCTTATAAAACTAAATATAAAGGCAAAAATATGTACGACACACTTGTCATGACATATACTGTCAAATCTACAATAATACTGCGATAATCTGAATTAAGGATAAAACATTTGTTTAATTTTACTTGCCATTAACTGATCACTGAAACAATGCCAAAATTAAGCTATGGTCACATTGCACTCTTCTCCCCATAGACTTCCATTCATACGCACGCGAATGGGTCAGACCGGAAACGCAAGGTCATGCGTCAAGTTTCGCTGGTCACTGCGGTTCAAAGTTCAAGCTTGGTGAACATTGACCTGCGAAATCACATCACTTGACTGCATGAGACCAATTGAGGATCAAAACATGACCTCTCTGGACAGGAATTTAAAATATGGAGCAATCGCTTGCTTTTTTAATGTCTGATGATCATCTTGTTTAATCCCGTTTCTTTACGCAGCGCCGCACGACATAATTTCGCACGCACAAACTCTAGTGTGACCGCAGAATGTTACATTATATTAAAGTAAATTAGAGTTAAGTGTGCATTTTAAAGGCCTAATTTTGAGGGATTTCGATTTGTATGGGTTAAAAGTAGTATTAACAACATATGAAGGATGTTGCGGTTTCCCCTGTAAAAGGGTTATAATAATCCATCCTTGTTGCTTCCGTGCGGTAGATAAATATATCTTTTTTTGATAATATTAAATTTTACACTCCAGAAAGTACTGATTAATCGCATCCTACTGTATTACGTTGGTTATTTTCTTGTCACTGCTGAAATAGAATACAGACCCGTCAACGTTGGGATGTGAAAATAAGAGATATGCCCACCATAATAAGGGATATCCCCCTTCCTCCTGCCCCCCTTTAAAAAAATCCCTAAATATTCTTCTGGAGCTGTATTATTTGTAAATAAACAGTTAAACGGTCAGTAATATGTTTTATTATTATTATTATTATTATTATTATGTACAAAACAAAACTAATAGTTTACATTAGCAGCAAATAAATTAGCTAACAGTTCAGCTTATTAAAATTAATAGCTATTAGAATGAAATAGAATTAAGTTATCAAATATCATTAATCTTTTCTTCACTGTAAAACTTACATCAGGGGTGTCCAAACTCGGTCCTGAAGGGCTGGTGTCCTGCAGGTTTTAGCTCCAGCTTGCCACAACACAACTGCATGGATGTTTCTAGAAAGCCTAGTAAGAGCTTGATTAGCTAGCCTAGTACCACTAGGGTACCACCGTATTTGCTTGGGGTTGGAACTAAACTTTGCAGGACACCGGCCCTCCAGGACTGAATTTAGACACTCCTGACTTATACATTCTGATTAAAAAGCAACAAATGAATCTCATTTATTTGGATTTTTTGTTTGATTACATTACATAACAGATGTCACTTTAAAAATGTACACATCTAACGTTATAAAGTGTTTGATTGCTTTCCTAACTTTTTATGCTTATTTAGGACAAAATTTGTTGTGTTTACATTTTTCGCCATCTTTAGATGGTATTATGAATTATGTGTATATGTCTGTTCAAACACACATCCAAAACCCAGACTTTCGCTCCACTTCAAATTGCGTGTACAGAATCCGTTTGGGAAACAGCGTCTATTTATTACTATGAAGCACATCTGACAGTCACGCACCGCTATATTTTTTGAGGACTGCATAGGAGGGGCGATAGAAACTGTAATGGAAAGGAAGGGAATTCCGCTTTTTTTATATTTATTTCAAAGTGTTTTCATGCCCAAATAAAACGAAAGCACAGAACAGACTCGCATTTAAGAGCATGGGGCAGCCCCTGATGGTTTGATGAAGCAATGAAGCTCTGTATTTTGCTTTTGCTGGATAAGATATGGTACTTACTCTTTTGTTGCCGACAAAAGAGATGGTCAACAAGGAGCAACAACACAAAGATTACACAAAAACCCACTGCTATGGAAACTGAAACTTTATCCACTGCTGGAGTTTCTAAATGAGAACAGAAGCACACACACACACACAAAATTACCAGTAGTGACAAAAAACGATTTTATGTTTGTTTGTTTGTTTGTTTCATCAGTACCTAAAGTGACAGGATCTCCCACCATCATACCTGAAACACAAACGAAACAGAAGACTGAAAGATCCATTTTTTTTACACATTCTCTTTTTTCACATCTCATTTTTTGTCTGGATTTTTGGTGTACATTATACAAGCTTAAATGTATCTTATGATAAGGGTTAGTCTTTAAAAACAAATTTAAATCACAAGCACAAGTTTGAGCCAGGGACGTTTTATGTTGTGAAAGAGTTACTCTAATTGAAAGAGTTTAACCATTTCCTGAGTTAATTTAAATATAATATGTCGTTTAAATACAAAATGTTAAATTGCAATGGCTAAATAACACTTACCAGTGATAGTGACGGTGATGCCCTTTGTAACAGTGATGCTACTGATGTTGATGATCTCCAGTTTGTAAACTCCAGAGTCTGTGATTCTGCTGTCTATGATGGTCAGAGATCCAGTCTGTCGATCCAGTTTCAGTCTGCCACTGAATCTCTCATCAAACTGAACATCTGTGCAGATCTGACCTCCAGTGACTTTAGCGATAAGAGCATCATTAAAAAAATACATCATTAGATCATCTGGTTTTTTCATTCCACCAAGATTTAAAGTGACTGATTCTCCCTCCTTCACAGACTTTGTTTCCTTTTGATTAGCAGCAGAAACATCTGAAACAAACCGACAGAAATATAATGCATTATAAACAAACCTTGTGTAACTAAAGGAGGCTTTCATGGAGGTGTGAATCCAAATGCAGATTTTTTAAAATGAATTTTTAAAAAATAGGTGGACAGAAAAATAGCTATTGACTCACCGTATACAGTAACTCCGAAGGTCTTCACACTGTAGCCACCACTGCTGACAATCTCTAGATGATAATTGCCAGCATCCGTGCTTCTGGTGTTCATGATGGTCAGTGATCCAGTCTGATGATCCAGCTTCAGTCTGCCTCTGAATTTGTCAGTATTTTCATTACACTGGACATCTGTACAGCTCTTGTTGAGATCTTGATTGATTTGAGCGATGCGAACGTCATTAAAATACCATACAATGTTTTCTTGTTGGTTTGTTTTAACGCCACTGTAAAGAGTGACCGAATCTCCCTCTGTCACCGACACCGACACTCTATCTGAACCAACACCACCTGAAGAAGAAATCAACAGTCATTTATATATTATTTCTTGGGTAGTGTAACAAAAAAGTTAAATACAGATTTGAATAAAGATAATGTTTAGAGTCATACTACAGCACATACTTATTTAATAGTAGATCACTCTCCTCTAAATCATTCATTTGTTCATTAATTTTAATTATTTACAGCTTAGTCTCCATTTCATTGGCCACCACAACAGAGTAAACTGAAATTTATGATTCCAGCATAAATTTTATGCGCAAATGGCATTCCAACTGCAATCCAGTACTGGGAAACACCTATAAACTCATTCACACACACACACACACTCATAGACTACGTCCATTCATTCATTCATTCATTTTCTTGTCGGCTTAGTCCCTTTATTAATCCAGGGTTGCCACAGGGGAATGAACCGCCAACTTATCCAGCAAGTTTTTACACAGCGGATGAGCTTCCAGCCACAACCCATCTCTGGGAAACATCCACACACACACACTGCGGACAATTTAGTCTACCCAATTCACCTGTACCACATGTCTTTAGACTGTGAGGGAAACCGGAGCACCCAAGGAAACCACTAAAGTTGAGAACATGCAAACTCCACACAGAAACGCCAACTGAGCCGAGGTTCGAATCAGCGACCTTCTAGCTGTGAGGCGACAGCACTACCTAGTGCAACACTGCCTCACCCTAGACTACGTCCAATTTAGCTTATTCAATTCACCTATAACGCATGTGTTTGGACTGTGGGGAAAACCAGAGCACCCGGAGGAAACCCATACCAACACAGGGAAAATATGAAACTCCAAACAGAAATGCCAACTGGTCCAGCCGGGACTCGAACCAGTGACTTTCTTGCTGTGAGTGCGACCGTGCTAACCACTCAGACACCATGCCACCTCTCCTCTACATCAATTTTTGCTAATGATTTTCTTAAAGGGCCATGAAACCCCCTCGTTTCAGCAGGGTGTTTTCACACCTCTACTTTGGAAAAAGTCAGAAAAGTGGGCGTGTCCAGCTCTGTTTAGGGGGGAGTGTCAGAGGAACTAAAGTGGGAGGATGTGGGAGTGTCTATTTGGGCACGCGCGAGTTTCAGAGTCAAAATAAACACACAGGAGAAAGTGATGGTGTTTAACCTACATGGACATCTGTAGTCGAATTATTTGCCAAATTATTAAATGGTGGACTTTAACTGCAGTTTGGCTCTTTCATTCAGGGAATTCATTCAAGCCCCTCGCGACAAACAAGATATTTGATTCAAGGAACTGCTCTAAGCGTGTATTTTTCATTCAATGTTTGATACCGCACAGCGAATGAGAGAAAAAAAACCCCTCCGCATTTCCCGGAAACTTAGATGCACACGGCAGGTAGCGTCAGAAAGCCGCGTGTGTTATTCCGGTCACTAAATGCGGTAAAAACCCTACACGAGGTTAAAGTTTGGTTGTGGTGCTGCTAACATGTATGTACTTGGTGCAATAGTTAACTTAGTTCGATACGAACAAAGTGAATAAACAAAGAGCACTGGTCGCTTACTTACCAAATCTTTAGAGACAGGACAATCACCAGCAACTAGAGCCGCGTCTTTATTAAGAGTAGACTACAAGCGAATCCGGATCTCAGCGTTTGAGAGTTGAGAGATGAGAGCAGCTCTCAGGTAAACAATAATCCTCCTTAGACACGTAAGTTATTGTTGTCGCGCATCGCGTACACTGTTAATCCACACGTGAGTCTGAGCTCTCACAGAGAGAAAATGAAAACGAAACTTAACTGCAGCAAACTATAAAAGCAACACTCCATGCTTGTTTTGCCAACACAACGTGGCGTCTCTGCAGTCTAAACATTATGACAGTAATGAATATTAATGAAGTTGCACAATAAAGCGCGCTGATTGGTTTGAACCAAGCCTTACTCGTGCATTAATGCATCACACTGTAAGACGTAATAAGACTCACTCTGGCACAGACGTCCAGTCTGCACGCTGGAATACAAGCTATTATGTCATGACCGTGACGCAGCTTCAAAAATTCGTTTCAAACCGGAAGTACGAATTTGCTTGAAATAACGCAAAAACAACCAATTTACACTTTTTAGTGAAATATAGGTGTCCTAATAGTGTTTTTAGCAGTGTGGGACACATATACGACTGTCAACAGCTCAAAAAATGTGTTTTGGTGTTTCGTGACCCTTTAAGTAAGATGCACTGTTTAACAGAAACCTGACTAAAACCAGATGATAACACAACCTTAAATGAGTCTATATCTCATTATAGACACATGTTTCATCTTTAAGGCAAAGGTGGAGGTGTTGCAACAATATATAGCAATATTTTCAATGTCATTGAGCAATTTGGTTCCAAATACAATTCCTGAGGTTACCTACCTCTAATTTCTCTACATGCATAATGCCGAACACCCTGCCCCCTGTCTTTACTTTCTGTATTCATATATTAGATTAATAAATAATCACTTATCTTCACAACCAGTCAGCTGCCTAAAATGAGTTTAGTTTACAAGTTTTTCTAACATAAATACAATAAAGTTTAAAACAACAGAAGAATGATGAAAAAACCTATACAAATGTTTACAGCTTAAAAACAGTAAACAAACTACAAAGGAAGGAGATGTGTGCTGTGATGGTAACTTGACTAAAGGCAAAAAAGGAACTTTTTTTTGTGGATGCAGCATTACAAATATGTCTTAAACTACAAAAATGTCATCCTGTACTACAAAATGAGTGTCAAATCTTTTTTTTAATTAGTCTTATACATCCTTTGAAAGCTAAATAATTTTTTTTTCCATTGATGTATAGTTTATAGCTTTTGGCTTCTGGCTAAGATAGAAATGTTTGAAAATTTGAGGGTTAAAAAAAATCACATTTAAAGTTGTCAATTTAAGTTCTTAGAAATGCACATTAGTAACTATATATCACTTACTTAAAAAATAAGTTTTAAGATATTTACTTTACAAAATTTACAATATGCGTTAATGAAATATGATGTGCTTAACATTGTAATGATGAAAGAAAAATCTTTAAATAAAAAAAATCTATCATAATTTGATAAGAGTCTAACAAAAAACTTAAATGTAGATAAAATTTACTAATTTAGATGTAAGTTTCAGTCTGTTAGTTTTAAGGATATACATAATCTAGTGTGCTTCAAAAGAGTGGTAAAAATCACATTTAAAAGATATAAAATATAAACATCTAAAGGCTTGCAGTTTGTCACTTCCGCCTAAATGGATCGGGTTTACTCACATTACCTCATACTTATACTACTAATACTAATAGTTTAGCAACCAAACAAATCCAGAGTTGTAGTCGCTGTTTCGAGTTATCCGGAGCGACTCCACAAATCTTGATTATCACACTATTATTAAACTCTACAATTATAACAATAAACAGCAATACCCACGCACATTACACAGCTACACAGCTGACTCAGTCATCGCATTGAGACAAAAAAAGCGCACTCATTTTTTTTCTCGTCAACAAAAAAAGAACATAAGCACGTTCGGTGCGATTGGCCCATTGCTCTGCTTTTGTGGTCGACTTGTCTAAATTCACTTTAGCGCTGGATACAGAATATTATGGAATGCAAATTGTTCTCAGAAATACAAAATATTTCTTTTGTTCGAAGTGATTCCCTGCTGAAAAAACAGGCTGGTCGACCAGCTAAAACCAGGTGGTTTAAGCTTTTGTCAACAGGGTTTTAAGCTTTTCAACTCTAAAACGTCAATCTTTTTGCGTGTTGATTTGCATTTGTTTACATTGTGCGTTAGAGTTGGTTTCACCTTTAAGTGGACTTTGAAATTTAATTTTTTTATTAACTTCAAAAAACTTTATAATACAACTTAGAAGACAGTAAAAAATAACAGTTCTTTTACACAATAATCACATGGATACTCTTTAAGTACACTCACAAGCAAATAGCAACTGCGTCACGTTTTAAAAGTTGACAACTGCGTCACGCTTGTTTTAAAAGTTGACAACTGCGTCACGCTTGTTTTAAAAGTGACTAATAAATGTTTTAAGGTCGTGCAAAGCCAGCAAATATAGCTAAATAACACATAGCCTAGATTTATCTTGTTGAATTTAAAGTAATAAAACAAATAGCGTTACTTTCGCTTTCATTTCTCACCATTGTCATGTAAACAACAAAGCAATGTTGCCAAAATAAACAGAAGCTGCTTTTCCTGAAGAATATGTAGATTCTCGTCCATATTTTCGCTCCACTACATAACAGCTTTTATCTCTCAAGTCAGCGCTTTTGGATAGGAGGCTGCTCCGGTTCATTCTCTGTGCCACTACAACATCTCATGGACAGAACTAGCTTTTTTGAGTTTACAAGGGGGAACTCCCAGATTTTCTTTGTTGCATTTCATCTGGTAATGTTTAAAGAAACAGTCAGACCAAAATGAAATACAGCGGACAGCAACGTGTAGTTCTGTAAAAACATTGCGACTTAAATTTTGTATCGTGTAAGTCACTCAAAGTCATTTTAAAATGTACTAAAAAAATTTTAAAAATTCCTTGATTTAAGTTTTACGTTAAGTGGTTGTAAACAATTTATTTGGAATGTCAACAAATAAATTAATTTGATTGTTTAAATTCAACACAAGTAAATAGTTTGCAACAGTTTTGAGAACAGCATTTTTTCAGTGTATGACATTGTTTCAAAGATTTTAATTTAAAAAAAAAACATCCGTTACAGTAAAAGATTAAAGGCGTATATCACCACAGGTTGTGTCAACGTTTTTATTTCAATAGTTAAACGAACGAAATAAATGAAAAATGTTTTTAAAAACGTTTAAATAAAGTCAGGTTCAGCTATTTCGCTGCACATCAAATTTAAAGCATCCAAAACAAGTAGGCCTATTAAGTGATTGTTGGTATAGTATAGTTTTAATATATTCAATTGTATTTGTTTCTATATGATCAACTACACATTTGACCATGAATGACCTAAAGGAGGAAGAGTTACAACATCTAGCAGCAGAGAGCGGAAAAGTTTCGATACACTGTAACCCACTAGAAATATAAGCATTATGAACGTTAACAACAAAGAGGAGACCATTCATGACTCCATCTCTGGAAATACAGAGGATTTCAGACTCCTTCACTTATAAACACTAAAGACATTTAATCACAGTTCAATGAGGAAAATAGGCTTTTACATTTAATCTGCTGATCACATCTCATGATCAAATATGCTACAGATCACTTTTACTGTCGATAAATAAGTCAAATATAAATCCAAAATCAAAAAGTATCATGCAATGATCACATATCTACTTAAATAAATCATAAAAATATAATTTATACATATTAACTTTTACATATTAATATATAGAAAAGTTTGTAAAATAACAGAAAATGTATTTGCAGTTTGTTATATAACAAACTGCATTTTTTCCTCAAAACTAAAACAAACAAACAAACAGATCTCGATTGCTACTCCTATTCATATACCATATATCATAATCTGTCTGCTGATGATGTGAATAAAGCTTTCAGGAGTCTCCAGTTTTATTTCATATATTGTTTTTAGCGCCCCCTGGAGGAAAAATGGACCACATTTAAAGGGGACTTTTTATGCCCATTTTTTTTTTCCAAAATCTAAAATAAGTCACTGATGTCCTGCTGCTGGAATCCAGAAATGATCAGATGTGCTCTATAATTAGAAAACACATCTGTTTAGCTGTGCCTTTACTGAATGAGCACTGTGCGGAGTCTGACAGATTGCACTATTATGTTTTTTTCATTTCATTGCAACACATTTTAATCAGTTTTTAATAATTTATATTCATTGTGATTCTTGTTTAAGTAAAGCACTTTGAATTACCATTGTGCATGCAATGTGCTATATAAATAAACTTGCCAATTCAAAACAAGACTAAGGTTATTTCAGTAAAAAACTGAATGATGAAACTGAACTGAAAATGTCCAGAGTCAACAGAGACTCCCGTGTTCATTTGTGCATCCTAAAACTCCACATTCATGATGCCTCTTACTCGTTGACATTACCTTCAGCAGGTACAGTATGAAAACTCTTATGGCAGATGGCTGCTTATGCTAATGAGGGAGAGATTTTCACTAATGGACAGGGCTTTCCCCTTCTGATGACGGGCACACACAGGGAAAAGGTCAACCACAGTGTTTCTTTTTATCAAGTGTGATTATAATAGATAGAATTCTTTA